CTAACTGAACTACCGTAAGCTAAAAACAATAAACACAAGGTCGTTTTTGTCCGAAAATATCGTCTAGAAAATAAATTTCCTCAAATGACAATATTTATCATGCGCTGCTAATAATGGCAAAAATATGTAGAGTTTGTTTTATTATGTTTAAACATTTCTGTTTTAGCCAACACATATTATATGGAAACTTTATACTATTTATGAAACACATTTTTTTTCATTCAACCGTTTACTGCATTGAGTTTAATTATTTTTAATGAAATAAAAAAAAAACAAATTCCTATCAATATGAAATATTTAATGTTGGATATTTATTCATAGAACAACATATATTGGCGCATTCAACACAAAGCAAATGACGTCACTTTTTAATGCAATAACGGGCATCATAGCAATACATAGTGTATTACCTGGAACTACATGTACATGAATAAACAACGAAGTATTCACGTTTTCATATTAAAATAGTCGCGTGTTCTCAGCTCATTTCTGTAATTGCGTCGTTTTCCAGTGTAATGAATTGTCCGTTATATATAAGAAAAAATGCCTTGCATAATACTGTGATTAATATTTTGAAAGCACGATATAGCGATACTGAATTTGTGTTTAGCAGTTTGACAATTAGAAAACTTGAATAAATAAAAGGAACAAAGGTAGTTTCTCACATACAAGTTAGCCACCATGTTTAAACCATTCCTGCTTTGAATAGAAAGGGTTTATAAATATATTTAGACATTAATAAACTGTATATCTATAATATATTATTAATTATCAATATTATACAGCAAAAATACAGTTTGATGATAAATATACAAGACTTTATGAGTGTGTTCTAATGTATGAAGAGTGATCTTCTAAAGCGACTTACATGGAGAAATAATATAGATAATACACTTACGTCGTATTATAATACAAACTTACATTTAATGGTCTACACCTCTGAATTACGTTACCATTGGAGTATGCACCCTCTATGCAAAGTGAGCTTTCCGCACACGTCACCTGTGCCACGTGACTTATACATTATGAAGTGCAGTGTAATAGATTTCTTCTACAATTCATGAGTGAAATAATTATATTATTTATGTTCGTGTTCGCGGACCTTTGGTATCGTGAACCTTCGGTCTCGTGAATCTTCGGACAACTGGGCTGTTACAGTATCAGATTGTATAAGCAAATACTAACTGAATTTAATAAACATGTGATTTGCTGTTCAGCGTTCATTAAAAACTGGCATCATTCCTTTCACACGGTCCCTTGCATTTATTTTATTTGTATTACTTACTAAAATAATCTTAATTTCCCAACTTACCAGCAGTATCTAACAGTTAGTGTCCCTGTACATTATCTCTTTAAGGGGTTAGCATACGTTTAATGTGTTTTTTATGGTTAGGACAGTATATATGACAGTGTTTGTATTCTATACAAAAAAAAAACACTTTATACGGCTTATTTCAGCGTTTTTACTATTTCAAAACAATGCCACGTGTGGTTGTTTATAAACACAAGCACACAATTTGCATAAAAGTAATCCTAATTGACACTTGATGAAAGATTGGATTTGCATGTCAATACTACAAAGTTTATGTACTTACAGTACTCATTTCGCGCAAATTTCCGCTTATTGCTTAATTTCCAACCGCGCGATCTTGTCCGACCGGAAACCGACCGCATTTTTACATTAATCGCTTTTGTTTTCGCTCGCTTGCTCGCTCATTGAAAACACCGACCGCTCGCTCAAACCACAGTCCCTCTGATTACTAACGCATTTCACAATACCAACGTCGAGCAATATTTATTATTGAAAAAAACATTCGAATAATTCTGAGTCAATTCTTAATCGCATCACACAACCCGACTACATGGTGGCGTTTAGATATCATCACTGCATTACAAAATGTTAGAGCGATGATATTTAAAGTAACCAAGCTTTTCGCGTTTTACAGTCGAGCTCGGTTAGCATACTGTGTTACTTGGAACTCAGAGTCGTGGATTGGTTGCGATTCGTAAAAAAACGATTTAGGATATTTAAGATTCTCCGCCATCCTTCACGGCATTGTTCAGTGTGTTTCAGTTATTACCTGCATTTTTTATCGGAAGCAGTCCACAAAGCTGTCCGAGGGAAGTTTTGCGGGCGGGCGGGCGAATATGTTTTTAGTAGGTTAGTTGGCGGGGGAGATTTTTCGCATTTGGGAGGGCGGTTTTATTTGTGTGCACACAGTTGTGCGGATAAAATAAATTTAATGAGAGGGCGGGGAAACATTGTGCTCATTTGGGTGAGTATTTTTTTTATTCGTGTAGTTTACAACAAACCACTAAACAAGTATCTCAGCGAGTAAGGCATTCTTTATCTTTACCCACTGCAACGACCATTATTCAGCGGTAACTCAGCTTTCGTTATACACACACATACAATTTTATTTTAAAAACACCCCGAAAAAAACAAAAAAACAAGAGATTATATAAGACGGGTAATATTCACAATAGTAGAGGAGGGGTATATATGCAAATCGTTACTGCGTTTACGGTGCATGACGTTTACTATTGTAAATTATCCGACAAATACGAAATGGGCAAGTAAGCATATCGTATATTCTACATTTACACTATTATATATATTAGGCATTATTATCCAAAGCCCATGTAAACATACACACAT